CGGTGTGTGTATGTGTGTGTGTGCCGAAATGAATGTGGAAGACGCATGCGGGCGGTGGCACTGTGGCCTTCGGTGGAGCTCCCTATGGTGCCACGAAACGTGCGAGAGGTGTGCCGAAATTGGTGTGGATGACGCATGCGGGCGGTGCCGCTGGGGCCTTCGGTGGAGCTTCCTATGGGGCCACGAAACGCTGTTCTGGGTGGGCGAAACGTAGGGAGGAAGGAAGGGGAGGAGGGGGAGGAGGAGGAAGAAGGAATGAGGAGGAGGAGGAAAAGTGAATGACGCGAAGGGCTGTCTCTTCAAAACGAGGACCCAACACCACAGGACGGTTGGGAATCATCCTGGCGAAGGACCCAACCATATGCAGCTGTGAATAACGCAATTCTTGGTATCGTCTTCGGTGGAGCTCCATGTGGGGCCACGAAATGTGTGAGGGGTGTGACGACATGGGCGCGGTGATGTCATGCGAGCGCAGCCAATGGGGCCTTCCGTGGAGCTCCCTATGAGGCCACTTAACGTGCGTGGGGGGTGTGCCGACATGGGCGCGGTGGTGCCATGCGAGCGCATCCATTGGGGCCCTCGGGGCCCGCGAAAAATGTGAGGGGTGTGACGACATGGGCGCGGTGATGTCATGCGACCGCAGCCAATGGGGCCTTCCGTGGAGCTCCCTATGCGGCCACGTAACGTGCGTGGGGGGTTTGCCGAGGTGGGTGTGGTGGTGTCATGCGAGCGCAGCCACTAGGACCTTCGGTGGAGCTCCGTTTGGGGCCACGAAACGTGTGAGGGGTGTGCCAACATGGGCGCGGCTGTGTCATCCGAGCGTAGCCATTGCGGCCTTCCGTGGAGCTCCCTATGAAGCCACGAAACGTGTGTGGAGGTGTGCCGAAATCGGTGCGGTGGTGTGATGCGAGCGCAGCCACTGGGGCCTGCGGCGAAGCCCCCTATACGGCCACGAAACGTGTGAAGGGTGTGCCGAAGTTGGTGCGGTGGTGTCATGCGAACACAGCCACTAGGGTTTTCGGTGGGGTTCCCTATGGTGCCACGAAACGTGTGACGGGTGTGCCGATATGGGTGCGGTGGTGCCATGCGACCGCAGCCACTGGGGCCTTCGGGGGATGTCCCTTTGGGGCCACGAAACGCGTGAGGGGTGTGCCGACATAGATGCGGTGGTGTCATGCGAGCGCCGCCACTGGGGTTTTCGGTGGAGCTCCCTATGGGGCCACGAAACGCTGTACTGGGTGGGGGAAACGCAGGGAGGAGTGAGGAGGGGGAGGAGGAGGGAGGGGGCAGCGGGAGGAGGAGTGAGCGCGGGGACCGTCTCTTCAAAACGAAGACCCAACACCACAGGATGGTTGGGAAAAACGGCGGAAGGCTTCTGGCCATTCTCGGTCTCCAGTGGAGATTTCCTGGGCCCCAATAGGACCGTCAAAAGCTGCTCGGAACGAAGGGCTGGTCCCCAGGAGGGTGTCCAGGCCTCGGGGAGGCGAAGCCACATGGTGAAAAATACGATATCAGATGCCTGGGAACAGCCAGGTCAGGGCTGGGCTCCAGCTGAGCTGTTTGAGTGCCGACGGGGCCGCCCGAGCACTGGCCTGACCAGTCAGAGGGGGACCTGCCGCCCTGGGGCCACAGTCCAGCAGATCAGCGCTCGGGCCTCCCACCAGGTGACTCAGCCAAACCAAAAACGCTGACAGGACCCTTTTCCCGACCCTGGCCTCGAGGCAGATGAGGCATTTCGTCTGCTCGCCCAGGTGCCCAATACCCTCGCAGAGGGACAGAACTTTCTCCTCCTCCTCCTCCTCCTCCTCCTCCCCCCCCCCTCCTGCTCCTCCTCCTCCTCCTCCTCCTCCTCCTCCTCCTCCTCCTCCTCCTCCTCCTCCTCCTCCTCCTCCTCCTCCTCCTCCTGGTAAAGTATTCCTGCCGCTGCTCTCGGCCCTCCGGCCTGGAGCGTGCGCGTCGGCAGCGCGTCGATGTCCGAGCCGTGCGCTGGATTGCCGTGCTGCTCCCGCACGAGGGCCTGGAGGACGGCCAGCGGCAAGAGCCTCCGCTGCCGGCCGATGCGCACGACCGGTCCGCCGACAGCGGAAGAAGAAAAAATCGGCCCAGCTCCTCCTCCTCCTCCTCCCTCCTCCTCCTCCTCCTCCTCCTCCTCCTCCTCCTCCTCCTCCTCCTCCTCCTCCTCCTCCTCCTCCTCAAACCATGTACAGTGGGGGCCCGTACCAAGAAACACCCTGCTTGCCTCCAGGGTGCCCTGGGTTTCTCGGGCCTCGATGGTTCTGCTGTGGAGAGAGAGCGCGGCGTGCCCAATCAGTGGATGTCCTGGGGTCTCAGGGCTGGGTCTCTTGTGGAAGGTTCCTGGTGGACTGGCCTCCACTGTATTGGCGGCGCGCACCAGGGTCGTTCCACCAGCCTTGCAGACGTGCTGCAGCGGATTTCTGCGCGGATTTCTGCGTGGATTTTTGCCCGAAGCGGCGAGCGAAAAACGAAGCGAATTTCGCGTGGCTTCTTTTTGGTCTCCATCCCTGGCCAAAAAAAGTCCGGAACGAAATTCTCCAGGACACTCCAGGCCCATCTGATTGTTTTCCGACCGAAATCCGCTCTGCGATGTTGGCGCCATGACAAGGGGGGAGGGAGAGGGGGGAAAGCTTCTTAGAGGGAGGCTGCTTCTTGGAAGCCGCCGGCCTTGCTTCTGTACATGAGGAGGCCCGCGCCTTCCAAGAAGCAGGGATGCTGCTAAGAAGCCGTCTCCCCTCCACCATACCCCCCTCTGAGCATGGCCGGCATGAACCTCGCGTTACACATCGCTCACGGGTGGTCTTCGGCGGTCTTCTGACGGTCTGCGGCGATTTCCGGCCGTGTTTGGCGGTTTCCAGCGGTCTTCGGAGCCAAAGCTGGATGGTTGCTTTCAGCACGGGGTCCATGATCGAACACACTACAGACATAAATTTTGATTGCGGCCTCTCGGGAGCCCTCTCGGGATGAAAACCTGGTCTCGGGGAAGTGGTCGAGAGGTCGGGGGCCCGCGCCTCGAAAAAGTCAAAACGGCGGATGTCCGAGACTTGCTCAAAGGGGGGAACAGCGACCCGGAATCGACGAAACATCGCCGACAGATCCGCGCTCGGACCCCGATTGGAAAAACCTCTTGGCAGGCTGAGGCACCCAAGCCGTGATCGGCGAGGAACGGGCGATTGTGGGTCGATGCTCCCCCATCCCTGAGCGAGTCTCCCCTTGTGGGCGCCCCTGACGCACGAATCTCTTGGGTCGGCGCTGGACTGGCTGGACCAGAGCCGCCGCCGGGGGGTTTCAGCGCCGATCCAGGAGAGCCGTGCTGACCCCCGAAAGCGTGTGCTTATGCCGATGTTTCTTCTTCGAGATGTTGCGCCCCGTGCGGGGGTCGACGTCCAGCACGTCCCCCGAGGGGAGCAGCGATGCGCTGGCCCGGCCAGCCACAACTGGGGGAGCCCTGCAGTCCTTACGGCAGAGTGCTGTCGTGACGGCTCCGGCCGTGGTTCCTGGCACCGCGCGGATCCTTCAGCCTCGGGCGATCGCAGATTCCCGACAGCACAGGTCGTTCGATGTCGGCCGATTCTGGGCCACTTGTGGCACTCAACCTCGAAAGCTGGCGCTGGGGTCGCCGCCGCGTCGACACGACCCCCCCCCTTGGGGGATTCCATCGTACCGACAATCTCTCGAGACGGGTGCCGACCCAGACCTCCTCAGGTCCTCCGCTGCGATTCGTTCCACAACGCGGGCCCCCAAGGGCCTCGCCCGTTGCTGGGGACTGGCTTCTCATCCTGGGCCACTTCTTGACAGGCACAAGGCCTGGCGAGAAACCGCTGAGGCCGCCGTGATTCTTCCGTGACGAGAGGAAGTCTGGGGAAGCCGACAGTGCGCCCCCAAGGGGGGAGGAGGAGGACGAGGAGGAGGAGGAGGAGGAGGAGGAGGAGGACGGAGGAGGACGGAGGAGGACGGAGGAGGACGGAGGAGGAGGAGGAGGAGGAGGAGGAGAGAGGACGGAGGACGGAGGAGGAGGAGGAGGAGGAGGAGGAGGAGGAGGAGGAGGAGGAGGAGGAGGAAGGGAGGAGGAGGGAGGAGGACGGAGGAGGACGGAGGAGGACGGAGGAGGAGGAGGACGGAGGACGGAGGAGGAGGCGGAGGAGGAGGAGGAGGAGGAGGAGGAGGAGGAGGAGGAGGAGGAGGAGGAGGAGGAGGAAGAGGGAGGAGGGGGGGGGGGGGCTGATGGCCACAGCTCCCCCAGGTGATGGCTGGCCTGCTGGCGCCCGCGAGATCTGCCGCACTGCGCCGAGGGGCCTGCGTCACATGGCCGCAGGCCTGAGGGGCAGCGTCAGGGGGGAACTGTTCGGGTGACCCAAAAGGGGGTCCAGTTGAAAGGGGGTGGTGCATTAGATTTGGGGCGATTGGATTGCAAACGTATTGCGCCGGAGAAATGTATTGCATTGCATTGCAATGCGAGTAATGCATTGCACGCGAAAATCCAGCAATACATCTGCGCCCCAGATTGTATTGCACGCCCCAAATGTATTGCAACCCCACAAATCTATTGCACCAAATCTATTGCACCACCCGAAACTGTCTCAGGGGGGAGGAAGGGACATCGACATTGAATCGACGATCCATCGCCCATAGATCGGCGATGGGCCCTCGGTGACGAGTCGAGTCCGCACACTTCGAGGCAGGGCAAGATGTCGGGCCCCTATCGCCGTTGATGGGCGAGTGGGGGTCGATGCATACCCCCTGAGCATACACCCGTCCCCGGCGGTTCTCGGACCAGAGGCTGGAACGCCGCCGATGACTGACGAAAATATCCGACGACCTCAAAGCTCGAAAGCCGAAACCGTCCGAGAAGCAGGAAACGTTGGAACAAATGTTCGACGGGTCTACGCACCCCCCCCTGAGCCTGTCCCCCCCTCTGGTCAACTCTACACGCAGGTGACCTGCAGGCGAGAGTGTCCTCTGGTGCGCGGCTCAGAGGGCCGCGGGCAGGCCAATCCCGGGCGCGCAGGCCCGGTGCTTAGGGGAACCCCCGTCGTGAGCCCGCACCGGAGGTCCTTCTGGCGAATTGGCCACTCCTGCGCGTGGCCGCTCTGACGCCGCCCCCGAGGGCCCCGCACATCACGCTCGGCGCGGGCTCCCCCGGCGCGGGCGCGGGGAACTGGTTCACGACGCCGCAGTTGCGGCAGACCCGCATGGGCATGGCCTCCGCGTCCCTGGGCACCTCCACCTGAGCGACGATCAAACACGAGTCTCACGCGAGATGGCACAGCGACCTTGCGCGGCGGCTTGCGCGGGCCGCCAGCGCGGCACGCCGCACTGGAAGCGAGGGCGCTCACGCGCGACCTTATGCGGGCAGCTTACGCGCCAAGGCTGGCGCAGACGACCCCCATTTTTTGCGTCGCCCACCTGGAACCGCCGCGAGCAGGACCCGCACCTCTTGGCACGAGGTTGTTGTTGTCATTACTTCATTTGGCCGCCCCAGACAAGCTAGCGTCGTGAAAAATCACGGCGGGGGGGGTTGGGCCGTTTCCAGCCTCTGGGGTCCCTTGCAAGGCCCCGGAACCGTCAAAAAACGACTCGGGATGAAAAACCGGTCCCGGGGAATGGGTCAAGGCATCATGAGGTCCACGTATTGAAAAAATCAAGACGTCGCATGTCTGGGGTCGTTACCCCAGGCTGTACAGTCGGCTATCTCTGGACTGCGTCTGTGCGAGAGGCCTCGGCCACCAAAACTCCCGAACATGCTGCCAAGTCTTGCTGGAAGGGGCAACCCTGCTGCAATCAAAAAGTCACAGTGCCTGTCCGTCTCCCGGGGAGGGGGAAGGGGGCGGGCCCAGCTAAGGGTGTCGCTTGGGCGGGGTAGGGCACGTCGGGGCGGGGGTGCCCTGCGATCGACACAGAATGCGCGAGATCACCAGCATAGCCCACCCTCCGGGCACGACCATCACCACAACTCCTCGAGGGGGGGGGGGGGGGGGGCGGGTAACGACCGTTACGCGCCAGAGGATAAAAACAACAAAACCTCCACGCCCGCGGCGGGGGCGGGAAGAGTGGCAGAGCCCCCCTCGGGCGCTCGCCAGGAGGATGGTCGTCGATCTCGCTTGGGCGCTCATGAGCAGCCCGCGCTGGAGCGAGCCATGTGAGAGGCCGCTGACTGTGCCAGCAATGGGCCCAGCCGAACTAAATGTCCTCTCGTCGTGAAACTACCCACCGGTCGCAAGAAGTAAGTAGAAACATGAAGCAGGAAGGCGCTGGAAGTAGATTGGGTTTCCGCCCGCCTCCTGAAGATGAGGGAAAAGGGAAAACCACTCGACTCTTGAAGTAGGAAGGCGGCTAAATTGGGAATTGGGAATCCGACGACCGATGGGTAATCATGCCTGGAGCGATCCCCATCCGAGAACGCGAGGTGGAACCCCTTCCTACTTCAATGATCGAGTGGCTTCACCTTTTCTGTCCTCCTTAGGGGGCGGACGGAACCCAATCTACTTTCAACGCCTTCCTACTTCATGTTTCTACCTGTTTCTTCCGACCGATGGGTACCGCGGCCGCTGGGCCCAAAGTCTGCCGGTGCACCCTTGGCAATCCCGCCTCGCGCCCTCGATGGCCACCGGGCGCAGGCTGCGGCCACCGGGCGCTCAAGGGGCCAGGTGGCGCCTAAAGTGGACTGGAACCTGGGACTCCAAATATACCAACTTTCAACGACCGATGGCCACGCACGTCTCTTTACAAGCTAACATCTTCCACCTGTCGGGGGGGGGGGGGGGGCACAAAACAGCTGACGGCTTTCGCCCCTCTTCGTCCTCGGAGGACCCTTGCTGGGTCGCAGGGCCGCCCAGAAGACGGCTCGGGAGCCCGCGTTGGGAAAAAAGCACGGCGTCGGAGGTCCACGAAACGCTGACCAAAGCAGACAGCGACCGCTGTGGGGCGGGCGACGCTCGTCCCCAACAGCGCCTGCGGCGGCACCGACAGCGAGCCCTGCGTGGGCAGGAGCTCGTTACCATGCTTTCCGCTCCCATTCCCGGGCATCCGGCGCCTCCCCCCCCCAAAAAAAATCAAAAAAATCGAGGCGGTCGGTTCGTCGTCATTCTCGGCCTCTGCTGGTCTCGGGCCCCAGGGCCGTCAAAAACGGCCCAGGACGCAGTCAACCCATACAAGAAGGACGCACGACAAGGATGCAAGGACCTTGGAAGGCCATGTCGACACTTTGCGAGCGGGGCGTGGCCAGCGAAAGCGGCCAAGGATGGGCCGAAGGGGAAGGATGCATGGGTAACCTTGGAAAGTCGCTCATCCTTACTGTGCGGATTGACTGTACAAGACAGGCCCCAGGGGAAGGGTCGAGAGGTCCAGGTTTCATCCCGAAGCGTTTTCGTTCCGGTCCTCTGGCCGGGTGATGGCCTCACATCTTCCGCCATGGTTTCTTCACGACGCGAGGACGCCTGAGAACTCGGGCGTCGGTATCAGGAGTCGCCTAATGTTATGTTGTTCCCATCCTACTTCAGGACCACATCCCATAACTAGTTTCGAGCACCCGACAAAATGCCAAAAGAGTGTCAAAACAGTGTCGAAACAGTGTCGTGCGAGTGTCTCCCCAGGGCCCGACACGTAAAAGCCCTTGAGTTTCGGTACTTGTTTGGGCGCTCGAAATTCTTCCTGGTGATCAAGGCTAAAGTAAGTTGGAACATCATAAGCCTAATGGGGGTGGGGGGGTGGGGGCGATAAATGGGGGGGGAACGGTGCACCCCTCGGGCCCGAAAGGCCCTCTGGGGCCCTTGAAGGAGCCCTTCAGGGGCCCTGAAGGCCTCCTTTGCTGCAGCGGTGCGACGCGGGTGGGAAGACGGCCAGAACCCCGCGAAACATGCAGGAAAAGCTATGGAAAACGACTGGAAACACTGCAGCCTTGGGAGAGCTTTCTCCTAACAGCGGACAGCAGGCCAACGCCACGAGAAGATATGGGCTTGCGCAAAACAGCTCGCACCACACAGCTTCTATCATATATTGCGAAGGCCTTACGGCCGATGCCGCCGACCCTGAAGGGAGACGACGACGACGACGACGACGACGAGCACGACGACGACGACGACGACAACGACAACGGCGGCGGCGGCAACGACGACGACGCTGACGGTCTCTTCTGAAGTCTCTCTTGGGCCTCTGGGGAAAAGTTTTGAGGCCTTTTGGGAGCCTCTTGGGGGCCTCTTGGGAGCCTCTAGCTCGCACCACACAGCTTCCACCATATATTTTGCACCACATCGATTTCGCCGTATAGCTTGCGACAATGTGGGTTTGCACCGCATAGCTTCCACCGCGTAGCTTCCACATACTTTGCGCATCGTGATCACGCCGCAGGCAAAACCACACTGGAGCCTAACCTAACCAAGCCGATGGTGAGGACGTATCAGACAAACCCGCACCGAAATCAAGCCAGACCAGGCAAATTGTTAATTAGGACGCCTCTAGCGAAACCGCGCCGACACCAAGCCAAACCAGGCAAATTGTTGATTAGGACGCCTCTACCGAAACCGCGCCGACAACAAGCCAAACCAAGCACATCGTCAATCAGGACGTCTCAGGCGAGACCGGCGCAAAACCAGGCCGAACCAGAGGCCAAGCCAGGCAGAGCGGGAGGATGCCTGTCTAAGGCGGGGCGCCTGGCCAAACCAAAACCAAACCAGGCCTTAGTGGGCCCAGGAAACGACAGGGCCGTGTACTGTTTCCGTTTCGCCGTTCTCTTGCCAGTTCCGTCGCCGTTTGGTTGCCGGTTCCGTCGCCGTTGTTTCCGGTTTCGGTCCCAGTTCTAATACTGGAGCCGTTTTAGTTGGCGTTTCCGTTCGCCGTTTTTTAACCGTTGCCATGTTCCAAAAACTTGTTTTCGAAAACCATGAAAAACGGCCTTGCCGTTTCCGGGGTCCACTAAGAACCAGGTTAAACCAGGGGCCAACTCAAGCAGATGCTGAGGACGTGTCCAGCGAAACGCCATTGAAAAACTTGGTAAAGGAGTGGATGGCCCAAGGGCCCCCCCCCCGCAAGCGAATGGTCTTTCGTGCGGCCCGTTGGTTGTTTGTACGGCCCGTTGGGTTCTTGTGCGGCCCAGCGCGCGGCCGGGTGGGTCTTGCTGCGGCCCGCGCTGACCCTTTAATTAAAAGTAATATGTACAGGTTTCCTTTCTTAGCTCTGGAGATCCTGGCAACCCGTAAGGGCTTGCGTTCCCCCCCAGAAAAAGGTAGCCGCACAAAGGACCACCTGGAGGCGCGTTGGAAACAATCTAGTAGTAGGTGTGCCAATCTTCAATGTAACATGTAGAAAAGCAGCTTTCGAAGCAACGTGAGAAGCCCAGCTGCAAAACCTAGAGCGTGCGCAGCGCTGGAAAAATTGTTCGAAAAACGGGCTCGAAACGATCGACCTCCTGAGCATCACGATTATCATCATATTCATCCTCGTCCTCCCCGTCATGATCATCGTCCCCTCGTTTTGCACTTGTCAACATCGCATGCGCAATCTCCTTTCATCCCTCTTCCTTGTCATCATCCCCTTGGGCCCCATGTTCCTTCTCCTGGCTCCTCACTCCTATCTTTTTTCCGCTCCTCCTCCTCCTCGCTGTTCATTATTACTCATGTCCCTCCGCACTATGTTCCTCCCGCTGCATGCTCCTGCTGCCTCCCTTCCTGCTAGTTCCTCCTGCTGCCTACCTCTATGTCGGCTCCTCCTGCTGCATGATCCTCCTGCCTCGTCCTCCTCATCCTCGTCCTCCGTCAGCAGAAATTCCTCCTGCTGCTGCGGATGGGGCGGTCGGTTTGCAAGTCGCGTGGCCGCTCCAGGAGGAGGGGGAGGAGAACGAAGAGGAGGAGGAGCAGCAGCAGCAGCAGCAAGAGGGAGAGGGAAAGGGAGGAGGGAGGTGTAAGGGGGAGGAGGGAGGTGAGAGGGAGAAGGGGGAGAGGATGAGTATTATTATCACGATGATGATCAGCACGATCATCATGATAGTCATGATATTGATGGTTATCATGATCAGCATTGTCATGATCACCATCAGCACAGACATGCCTCTTGTCATCATCATGATCATGGTCATCATGATAATCATCGTAATGATCATCATCATCATCCATAAAATCATCGTCGTCATATTTTTCTTACTCGTCATCCTCATCATCATCACCATCATCAGAATCATCATCATCCTCATCATCATCATCATCATCCTCATTGTCATCGTCATCGTTATCGTTATCGGTATCGTCATCTACGTCGTCGTCACCGCCGGTGTCGTCATCATCAACCACCATCTTCTTCAACATCACCGTCATCCTCGTCGTCGTCGCCTCCCTTCCTGCTGGCTCCTTCGCCTCTCACATCCTTTCCTGTCGGCTCCTCCTGCTGCATGCTCCTCCTGCTTCCTCGCTCGCCTCCTCCACCTCATCCACCACCACCACCTCTTTCTGCCTCCTCCTGCTCCTCATCCTCCTGCCTCCTACTAAGTTTCCTTCACCTCCTCGACGTCGTCCTTGCCCTCGCAAGCGTCCTCAACCCTATCCTCATCGTCATCCCTATCCTCTGGTTCTTTCTTCACATCATCACCACCGCTGGTATCATCATCATCATCATCATCATCATCATCATCATCATCATCATCATCATCATCATCAGCAGCAGCAGCAGCATCATCAGCATCATCAGCATCATCAGCATCATCAGCATCATCATTATCACCATCGCCATCATCCTCATCAGCAGCATCAACAGCAGCAGCATAATCATCAGCAGCAACATCAGCACCATCATCATCACCATCAGCAGCAGCACCACCATCATCATCATCATCAGCATCAACATCAGCATCATCATCATCATCATCATAATCATCATCATCATCATCATCATCATCATCATCATCATCATCATCATCATCATCATCATCATCATCATCATCATCATCATCATCATCATCATCATCATCGTCAGCGTCACCGTCATCGTCCTCATGGGAGGACTGCAGAGAGGTGTGAAGGAATGGGAGGGGTCTGGTAGAAGGCAAGCAGAGGGGTGTGGAGGAATGGGAAGTGTCTGGAGGTTTGGGGAGGAATGTGCAGGGGCTGCGGAGGAATGAGAAGGTCTGCGGCGAAGGTTTTGGGCGGAGTGCGGAGCATGTGGAAGAAACGAAATAATTGTGGAGATTTGGGGAACTGCGGAGAGGTGTTGAGGAATGGCTGGAGGTTTTGAGAGGAGGCTGTGCGAGGAATGGGAGGGGCCCGGAGGTTTTGGCAGGAATGTGGATGGGGTGTTCGTGGATTTGGAGGTGTGGGCGAGGCCTGGAGGTTTTCGAAGGATTCGGAGGGCTGTGGAAGTTTTCGGTGGAAAGCGAAGGAGGTGTGCAGGAATGGGAGGGGTCTCAAGAAGGTTTCGGGCGGAGTGCGGAGATTGTGGGAGGAATATGGACGTCTCTTACTGCGTTTTGTGTCCTCTGATTCATGATCGGCACAATGAACCAACCGAATACCCATCACCGCACATCGATTGAACATCCAACATTTTTTATCCTGCCTCCTCGCTTCCTCAATTTTCTCCGCGTTGTCTCCCTTCTTCTCCTCTCCTCGTTTCTTTCTTCAGGGAGCCTTAAGAGGCCCCAAGAGGCTCGTCAGAGGCCCCTAGAGCCTCTTCAAAGGTCCCAAGAGGCTCTTCAGAGGGCCCAAGAGGCCCTTCAGAGGCCCCAAGAGGCTCTTCGGAGGCCGCAAGAAGCCCTGCAGAGGCCCCAAGCAACTCTTCAGAGATCCCAAGAGGCTCTGCAGAGGCCAAGAGGCTCTTCAGAAGCCCCAAGAGGCTCTTCAGAGGCCCCAAGCGGTTCGCCAGAGGCGCCAAGAAGCCCTTCAGAGGCCCCAAGAGGCCTTTCAGAGGCCCCAAGAGGCTCTTCAGAGGCCCCCAGAAGCTCTTCAGAGGCCCCAAGAGGCTCTTCACAGGCCCCAAGAAGCCCTTCAGAGGCCCCAAGACCTGCTCCGCTTCACCGTTCCGAAGGATTCAACTACTCCAGGGAACCCTTGGCCGTAGTAAAGCCCGCTGGGCCGCACAGAAGCCCATCTGGCCGCAGTAGAACCTTATCTCACCCCGCAAGGGGGTCCTGCGATTAGAATTGTATGGAGGAGGGGGGGCTCCTCCAAAGAGCGAGCGGTCTTGATCGCAAATGCTGTCGAATTATTGATTTACTCGGGCTCGCGCGCGG